TAGCAATGATATCAGGTCGATCATGTGGCTTCAAATTTAGAGGAGCAAGCAATCTTTGAATTTTTGGCCAATTTGGGTTGCATGTGAATGTAATGAAAAGATCTGGAAATCCCACCTTACTACAAATTGCCATGCCATCATAGTACAACTGATCCATAAATCGTCTACTCCCCACATAAGATGATGGTAATATGACTCTTTTTCCTATGCTTGATCCATGTGTTTGTTCTTGCTCTACATTTAGACTTGTATACTTTGACACTCTTAGTTTGGACTGATTTTTCCTAATCCATTTCAATCTCTCTCCTTCAAGCATTGTGTAACCATCCACCAAAAACTGTTGGAACAATCTTCTGGATGATAACAAAGTCTTTGCCTCATTGCACCTACTTTGGATTCTAAATGCTAGCCATTCTCGAATAGTTAGTCGGTTCCTTTGACTGTCATAAAAAATGTCAAGATCTCTGTGTGCAATGGCGTCTCTATATCCATCCTCTCCATAAGGAAAAATCAAGGGATACTGGTAAGACAAGTAAGCTGGATGAAACTCATCAATGCGTTGAAGTTGCCCCCCTTTGGCTTGCACTATAATGTCTCTTTCCTCAGCAGTGTCAATGTCACCAACAATTAAAGCTGCCACTTCAGAAACAGTTGGTTAATTGTACAATTTTCCATCAGTAGACCTAGTTGAAATCAATTTGAGCTTTAAATTATGAACATTGTTGTGATTGAGCCACTGTCTAGCCATTAAGAAACTTTTGGCATGTGTGTTATGTGTGTATAACATATCTGATAACTTTTGTATAGTCTCGGGCAGGATGTTGTTTTTGTTTCTACAACAATGACAAAAAACTAATTAGTGTGCATTATAACGATAATAAGATATAGGTAAATAAACATGATGTTTGGTTACCTGAGACCGTCCATTCTATTTGTAACTTCATTTTCAGTGTCATATATGTAAAGTTGGGCAAATTTAGGTGGATGTCCTTCTGGTGGTAATAAATTACCAATTCGGTGGCAAGCTTGTCCTTGGATTCTAATAGTAGGTGGGCCACGACCATTATTAAATCTGTTGTCCAACTTAGCTCCCGGTGAAGTGAAAGCAAACATCATGTTGTATGTCCTTATTTGTGACTGGAAATTCTTACTATCCATGGCATTATGATCAAACAGAAGATGTGATAAAGGTTGTGGTGGATGTTTTAAAAATGGAAGTTCGACTTTACCATTTCCACAACATAAAAAAAATTTGGGATTTGCTGAACGTTTGTGTTTGTGCATCCTTTCTTGATACCACATCATTGCTTTACAATATCGACACTCAATCAAAGGATCTCCCAAATCGAAGTACTCTGTGTATAATACAATAATTTTATAATTAAAGCTGTGAATAGAATAATAGTAAAAGTAACATTTTGTATTTACTCAAGATTTATGTTGGTTACCTTCATTGTTTATGTCTAGTTGGTTCGCTGTTGAAAAAGGTGGCAAACCATTTTCATTATTAAGGCTTTCATCTTCATCAGATTGCATTGTTGTTGTAAACATACTAATTATATCATGAATTGTATGTGAAGAAGCATGTTTTAATTATACCAAGAACGGAAACACATGTGAATAAACAGGTATTATGAGATATACATTTAACAACAATTTAATCTTAAAAGGTATATGAGGATATTCAATGTAGTGTATCTCTTCACACCTATCCTTCTAATTTTAGTAAATAGAAGGATATGAGTAGGGACGTAAACTGGATTGAATTATTTGGTGCTTAGCCTAAAATTTCACAGTGCCATAACTCATATAGATGCTTGTTGATATTTTGATTACTTTCCTCTCAACATTCATGTTAAAAAGTTTTACAGGCTTGATAGTTCGCCTGTTTTGCAAGGTCTAAAAGCGCCAAATTTCAGGAATCTGAGTTGAAATCTTACTACATTTGCTAGGCTGAATTAGATTCTGTTTGAAACTGATATCAATGGCTTGATTGAAGTAGGATAGATTTTCAACCTAATTTATGTCCTGCGCAGCTGCCTTGAGGCATAATAATAGCTATCAATTTGAACTGGGAAGTGGTTGGACTACTGTTTACTGTTTTTGTGCTTTATATGAATGTTTCTAAACCAGTACAGGTCTGCATGTATAACTTGTCATTGTATAGTAATCTTGTGATATTACATTAAGAAATATGCTACAACTGACTTATTAAAGTAGTTGTGAATTAATAAATCATTTTGGCATATATAAATGTAAGAGCTGTAGAATAAACAATATAAATTGTAAGTTTTTCGATCTACCTGTGAATGGATCATAGTCGGATTCATTTCTGTTATCATCACTGTCAAAATCAAAATTAGCCGTCGGAGTAAATAAAGTAGAAGTATTTCTCATACTTGCTGCCACTGTTGCAGTTTCTGTGTAACTGTCATTAATTGGTATAGATCTTGCTCCATTAGTTTGAGGGTTGTTTATAAAAGGTTATGTAAGTAATTAGAAGGATGATATAGTGAATAACAATACATAGAGACTAACTTAATTATCCTCTATGATGGAAACACTTACATGGATGGGAATGACGGAATTTTTATTACATTGCGGTGTGGCATTAAGACAACACTACATGTTTGTGAACATGTTGTGTTGGAAATCGAAGCTCTGTGTATGCTAAGTTCTTGATGGGATGGTGAAGGAGTCTTACGTTTTCTGTTACAATAGTTGTAAAACAAAAAATATTTCATGAGTTGGCTAGAACAGATTATAGAGAAATTGTTAAATTGCAAAATCGTACTCAGTAGTAAATGATGGACTTTGGCGTATCTTATGTTGTTCATCGCAAATAAGATTGGTCGCTAAAGCTGAGACGCCAAGGGATTTTTTAGGACGACCTCGACCACGTTTGATTTGTTGTGATGTGGACGGTGCATTATTCCTGTATAATGGAATTGGTTAGAAAATAACATAGTAGTTTTAAAGATGGAAATATGAATTAGACTTACATAGAAGTGTTATCCGGCTTTTGATTACGGTGATTGGTTACAACAAAGACATTCTTCTTTTGCGGCATGGATCCAGGCTCCACAAATCGTGACATAAGGTTTGTCCCCAAGTTATGAACATTAAATACTTTTGGCGGTGTACGATATGTATGCATTGACGGGGATGGTAAAGTTCCTTGCAATATAGAATCAATTCTCTTACCATCTCTAACAATTTGGTTGATTAGTCGATTGTTCGAAGAAGATGGAGTAACATCAGATAATGGTAATCTAATATTGGGGGTTGTGGCGTTTGTTTCAGCAGGTTTGTAGTTCAGAATAGTACTGTCAACTTGAGGGTGATCTTTGGAAAATCTGATTCGTTTTGAACGTTTGGCTTTAAGAACACTAAATCTTTTCATTCTAGCTCTCTTGGCGGTAATCTTATGTAGAATGTAATCATCAACCTTTATTATGGGATGTGTAGTTAGCCTAAAATAGTACAAATTTTATCAAGATTTGGAATGTAATAGAAGAGTTTAAACAGAAAGGTTCAAATTCAATAAGAAGTATACCTAATTTTAATAGGTTTGTAATTGTCTTTATCCATATTTCTGAACCTATAAAAATAGATCATAACATAGCTTATAATTCCAACCAATTATTGAATGCAACCATAGTAACTAACATAACAATCATGTCACAAATATCAAATATCAATTAACATTGTACAAAGACCAATATAAACTAATTAATGATTCAAAGCAGGTTTTGTACAGAACATAAATGTGGATGAAACTAAACCATTATGTCTGAAGCTGCAAAGCTAACGTGGATGAAACTAAACCAATGCCATTTAAGTGGTTATTCTATTTATCATAAATGAAGTGCTGAAACTTTCTATCAGTACAGATGCTAGTTATGAATGAAAGCTCTCACCTACACCAGTATGACACAAATTTCATGCAACAAACACAGAAAAACCATTGCACCAATATGACACGAAGTTGTAGTTACAGATAATCTTGAGTCAAGATATCTAGGCCATTTCATGTTGTTAAGACTTATATCATCAAGAAAACCAAAAGCAAATGCTAGCTTATCATGTTGTTAAGAACTGGGGCCTTTTCATGATGTTAAGACTTATATCATCTAGAAACAAAAAGCAAATATTAGAACACCAAAATCTTATGATAATAATGTTAAGAAAACCAAACAAATCCATGACTGATATGCTTCCGGCATCTATTGATGTTTTCTTTGATCTTCCACTGGTTTATGACTCAGATGGCTATATATTAAGGCTCGAGTAAAAAATTTATATTTTCCATATATGCTAAGCTTAATACTACATTTCCAATTGAGTTCACAAAGACTGTGGACAATGACTATTCAAAAGACATATTATCATGCGCTACTTACAAATTTAATTCATGTTGAGAAAATAAAAAGTTGATAAAGATACCTGTTGTCTCATAGATGAAAATTCCGGATGGCTGGCAGCTACGAAAGCTTTGAACATACGTGGTGGTATCCCTTCCTGCACCTAATGTTTGGAAATAGGAGACAAAAATGGTCACAGAAAACAATAAAAATAAGCATAGAGTATATGAAAAGGTGAGGATAGTCAATGGCATAAATATGTTACTTTATCAAGTGACACTTGAAGTAGTCAACCATAACATTTGCAACATATTCAAAACCATTGTGATCAAATCTCATTTTAAAACTTATTTCATTTCCTAAGCTGTTACTTTATCTAAAATGACTCAAACTGGGGCCTTTTCATGTTATTAAGAACTATATGAAGGCAAATGCTAGCTTATCATCAACATTTCCTAACTATATATTGTTCAATACACCTCTAGCATAAAAAAAACAGTAGCACAAAGAGCCAATGGTAATACCTGTTCAATACACCTCAAATACCAATTAACATTGTACATTTCCTAACTATATAATGTTCAACATATCAAGGCAAATGCTAGCTCTATCATCAACATTTCCTAATCTGTTATTATGTTTGCTTATGGCCATCAAATGGAACATGCTTATTCCACAAGGAGTCTCTCTGCTGCTTCTGGTATGATCAAGAATTAGTATCACTTATGTGGTAGATTCCGCTCATGAATGAAATTGAAAATTCTCGGTCATGTTAATCAAGCCTGCGACCTGATCTCGAAATGAATAATATGATGGAGAATTTTCATATTCAACTAATTGACCTTGAATCATTAGCTACTATATCTTTTGTTAACTTCAAGTTATTATTTTTGTATAATTTTGATGATAATTTTGATGTGTTTTTCTTCCTTTTTTTTGGTCACAGAGATGGGGAGCAGTTTTATGTTAGAATTGGGATTCTATATCACATCATTTTCTACAACAATCTTCATTGCTGGATTTGCAGCTCTTGGACTTTTATTAATCACTCTGTTGGTTTCAATGGCAATGATGCTACAATCTTGTCAAAATAATAGTGCTGGAATTCTAGAGCTTAGAAATGTAAACGATGACTATAGTTATTGCAAAGTTCATTCTCTGCATGCTAAGTTCAATCATTTGGAAGAACATAATCGTTAAGGCGTGTTCCTCGGCTAGGTTTCTCGCGTATCGGGGAGTCATTACTTTCGGAAGTTCCTAGTGTTGAAAGCTCGTCACAGTTTAATGGTCAGCGGAAGGAAGAAACTCGGACTGTGATTAAGGAGCATGTTCTTGAATTCTTGTTGACTATGAATCATTCCTTATAAGCTGACAACCCTGTTCCTAGATCTGTCTCAAATCTCATTGTGCACATAGTTGATACACATGTCGACCAGCTTCAAGATCTTGTGACAAAGCTTGAGATGGAGTTGGACTCTGTGGAGCTTGATATTAATAAAGGTAATCATGCACTCATTCTCTAATAATGAAATTCAAAACCACAATTTTATATGCCTGTACCATTCCTAGTTAAATGGCTGCTAGAATCTATAATCATTTTCAACTTTTAGTTCTCTCTGTGCTTCAAATCTTACAAATTTAAGCTGCTCTTGTATGCTGGAAGTTTACCTCAGTTTCTGTTAAGCTGACTTTAAAGGAATTGTGACATGAATTATATGAAGGCAAATGCTAACTCTTGTATGCTGGGGCCTTCTCATGTTGTTAAGAACTATATGAAGGCAAATGCTAGCTTATCATCAACATTTCCCAACTATATACTGTTCAATACACCTCTAGCATAAAAAAAAAGTAGCACAAAGAGCTAATGGTAATACCTGTTCAATACACCTCAAATACCAATTAACATTGTACATTTCCTAACTATATAATGTTCAATATATCAAGGCAAATGCTAGCTCTATCATCAACATTTCCTAATCTGTTCTTATTGTTATAATGGTATTGACATAACACAAAGAGACAAAATCCATGCTTGCAACTCAGGTACTGATATTATTGTTATATGGTTGTTAATCTCATTCCATATTGGTAAATGACTACCATATATCAAATATCAACTTCACAATTTTTTGCAATCATTAACTCACAGGATTCAGGATAACTCAGTTTGTGATTTACATGGAGGCAATGGTAACACCATTTTAAAATTGCAGCTTAATCATATATTAAATCAAATTAAATTGAAGTTTGCATACAACATATCAATATAAATTAAGTTTATCATGAGGAAGAGATTGAACAATAAGAATGCAGGTGATACCATGCTTCTTGGACAGTTGTAAGGAAAAAATAATTTACCTTAAAGTGGAAATAGCTGCATTGAATCTATGCTATTTGGATGAAGCTTAACAATTTTGTGTTGATGTTCTAACAGTCAATCAAAGGGAGTAGTTGACTTTTTTGGTGGATTTAAAAAGTCAATATCAAATATGCTTCAATTTTGAATTGATTTTCCCCAAATGTTTTGAACTGCATACAAACCAAATTAGTTGTAACTAAATTGGTAGTCTACAAGTATCAATTTTGACAGAACTGGCTGGTTTGCTTTTGCTGATTTTGCAGGGTCCCTAGACAGCCATGATTGAAACACGCAAAAGATAACTATGTATTTTTGTCTTGTGCAGAAGTGTAGTAAAAATAAGTGCATTAAAACCTGTGAGATGACAGCCATCAGTGAAAAATAGACATGACTTGCATAACTTATACTAATATGTTAAAAAGGCAATGAGTCAATGAGTGCAGTGTAAAGATGCTGGTGAAGTTATACTATTATGTTAAACAGCTGCAATAGGAAGTACTTAGCTATTATGACCTACACATTAAAACAGTAAGAGGAAGTACTGAGAAATGCACAACCTTCAAAGTATAGCTTACATAGGTAAACACAATACTTTATATGTCAAAAAATACAGCTAAAGCAATTGTGCCAAGTAAAATAGTACAGGTTTTGCAGAATTGTGAAAAAGTAAGCAGACAAAATATGGATTCATAAAAGGCAAGAACATTTTAATATAACTAATGCCAATAGTTTGTATATCTTAACAAAATAATCTCTCCACAAGATAATGGCAAATAAATATATCTGTTGTTAATGCAATTGATTTATATAACTATAAGTTACAGGAAATAATTGTCCTTTCAAACATATTTTCTAGGATTTATTTATTATATGGTAAATATGAAAGCAGTTATGCACTTCTGTTGCTTCTTCCTCCTTGTGCATCCATGCCATATCCTGGTTAATTTTACAATTTCACAATATATCCTTTTGATTAACTAAGATGATTTCACAGCTAATGTGATTTGGAAAGAAAGCATTTAGGGTGGAGCAAAAATATTGTCTCAATATACCAGAATTTTAGGTTCTTGGTTAACTAAGGTGCAATTAGAACCACCAATAATACTAATAAAACAGTTAAAACAGCAGTTGAGGTTCTGTTATATATCAGTTTTAAGGTGATTTTCTGTTAATGCACTTGTGCTGCTGTTCTATATCAGTTTTAAGCTGATTTTGTGATTGTAGATAGTTGCATATGTTTATGCTGCTGTTCTATATCAGTTTTAAGCTGATTTTGTGATTGTAGATAGTTGCATATGTTTATGCTGCTGTTCTATATCAGTTTTGTGATTTTGTTCTATATCAGTAGTAAGGCCACTATAAAATATGTTAACCACTTGGAGACACATGCCAAGTTTCATAATATAAGTTCATAATGGTTTTAGGAACAACATAAGTTACAAAAAAGTTAATCAGCATAAGCTTAACATATTCAAAAAAGGACTAAGACATGTTGAGCACTGTTTGTTGTCAACTACATTAGGTTACAAAAAACCATATTCAAATGAATAACAGTAGCAAGAGAAGGAACTTGTAACAACATAGCAACATTTGGTTGTACCAAAATAACTTGAGTTGAAGGTAAAGGCTCATTCCTTCTTGGCATGCTTCACAGTCTTGGTTGCAGATTGTTTAGGTGACAATATATTTGAAGTTCCTAGCTCCTCAATAGAATATTCTTGGGACAACCTCTTGGAAGGGGTATTGCTTGAATAGGCTTCGTCACTCCAATTCTGTGAAGCAGACATGGTTGGCTGGAAGTTGGAAATGGAAGCTATGAGTTGTTATTGCAATAAAATTTTTCCAATAATAATAAATTAAGACAAATATAACTTGGAAACAAACTTACTGTATGAATGGAAGTAGGAGTCACCGCTTCATTGTCGAGTATATGATGGTTAAGAACAGTTTCTTTTCCTTTTGTAGTCGGGGCATTCATGGTGTTTTTAGAAGTCAACTACATGATAATATATTCTGTGGTCAGTATGTTAGTGTAAGACATGAAGAATGTAATTAAATTTTGATGACTTAATGCATCATAAACCTCATTTGGACGAATGACATCTTTGAACATTTGGATTACTTCTTTGTCCTCAGTAAGCTTGATAACAGATGCCTGCTTAAAGTTCGGCCGAAACTTCACGCGAAAAGCAAATTCCTTTTCTAATAGTTTGTCCAAGTTTTCAGGATAGATTTGTGGATGATCTTCATTGGACTACGAATGTATAAAAGGTAAATATTACATAGTAACATTAATGATTTACATAACTATATTTCAAAAGAAATGAAATAGCAGCATGACATAATCTGTACTAAGTATAATCATGATAGAAAAGTAGAAGCTAACTAATAGCAAAACTAAATTATGAAAAATCATCATTAAAACAATTATTTTGCCAAAACTATTTGAAACAGACAGGATATAACTAATAAATATGATGGACAGAGGCCATGTTCATTCACTCAAGAGTTAATTTACTTCAAAATAAAACATTGTGTATGTGAGCTTTTGCATAGGCATGCTGAATCAAAACACAACTTATCTGTTATTTCCCTGTTCAGGAGCTCATGTTTTGACCCAAGTTTCATTTGGGCCATTCATAGATAGTTATTTGGAAATGGTGTTGACTATGCTATAGAATTTAAGGGGCTAACATGTGTAATTGGACGATTATATGTTCAAAAAGACACCTGTCAATAATTTCTTGACCTATTTATGTTTAGATGGTTTTGTACTTAAATTTCTTCGGTGCAGAAAAGTAGGAAAAGATGGACCATGACCAGACTGGATGCGAAACAGCCCCTGAAGGTCGTATGCTCTGCGTCAACAACTGTGGTTTTTTGGAAGTGCAGCTACCATGAACATGTGTTCTAAGTGCCACAAAGACATGATGCTGAAACAGGAGCAGACCACACATATTTTATTGATGTTGTTATTATATTTTTATATGTGATGGGGGACTTGGAGTATTATCTCTGCAGTTAGAGAGACTGCATATTTCATGTGATTGGCGAAAATATATGCCCCAGTGTTTTTTAAATCTTTAAATTTCTGCTACTTTGGTAGAAGTTGGTGGTGTAAGCATTATAAGGCTTTTATTTTGTTCCCTATCTATATGTCTGTAATAGTACATGTCAAAATGGTATGTGCAATTGACAGTTGATTTATGAAGGATCCATAAACATGAGTAGATTCTATATTTTATTATAGTTTTTATGTGCTTGTTCTACTTGTATTATTATAGTACTTCTGATTGTATATTATGATTTCTTACACAAGTAGGAACACATAAATGTGACACTGACCACAATTTCCTATGTCAGGCTATGGAAGACTTGGCTAAGGCATTAGAGTTTGAATCCAACACAGCAAACATTTTACACCAGAGAGGTATCTTGTAAAACACTGAGTGTTTTCATCTTGTTTTTTCAGTAAGTGATTGATACATGTATGTATATTGTAGCAACTCTTTAAAGTCTAGACAGAGCTTTCACCGGTTTTATGTGAAATGAGTGTGAACTATTTATTATTGATATTATCCTACAGGTGTTTAATATCTCATAGTCAATCACATGATTTCATATATTAGAGCTTATATAAGAGCAACAAATAGTGGTTACGTGTATACGTTGAATGTATCAAGCAGACATACAAGTACATAATATTAACGCACCTTTTTCATGATTTCTCTTAAAGCATGTGCTGCCATTCCAACATATTGGATACACTCCTTGTCCCAAAACACAAAACAACCAGTCGTGCAATCATTTTCGACCTCGATTTCGATTTTATACCTAAGGA